TACTTGGTAATGGTAATGGGTTTTGGTGAAAATATTTAACATGTTTGGTAATAGGGTGGAATGAGAATGGTTACTAATAGTAGTGCTTGAGAATGAATAAGGGAATGAAACCCTTATTTTATTTGGGTATGGGTTTTTCAATCGATGGGATATTCGAAAACCATAGTAGTATTCAAAAAAACTATCAACCAAACAACAACAATCACTTTCATACACATTCCTATGGGCAAAACCCACCAACCAAACACACCCTAAATTTATCATTTTCTTTGAATTCTGCAAATTTACTGCTGATAACTTTCATCAAGCTAGCTAAGTTCTCATTCTTAACGATTTTTACTCCAAAATAATTATATTAAACATGCCTTAATCCATTCAAAATTTGCGCATGTTTGTGTAATGATTATCAGCCTTCTGCTTTGGGATTTGAGCTGTGATTATGCTGTCTTTACACATAATTAAATTAAATGATTTAAAACATACATACTATACATTTGGAAAAATAAAAATTGTATGGCCAAATACATTTGTGATATGAAATGGATCGGAAATGTATAACAAGATATGAAATAACAGATAGGGAGATGACAACCTATCTAACAAGAAATTAATTATATATGATGTTATTGTTTGACAAATTAAAGGAAAACGAAACACTAATAAATATAATGTCTATCAGCAAGCCAAAAAAAATGTCATTATCTGCAAGCTGGGTGGCTGGCGACACAACATAGTAGTGAATCCTGTGATTCTTGTCTATGCATACTGTCCCCTATAAACAAATCAAAATAATCAACTGATCTGACGCGTTAAGGTACCCCTCCACATTCAAATCCCAATCCCAATGGCCAATGTTCACCGTTATCTCCATCTCTTTAATTTGGTTTTTGGTTAGTAGTAACCTATGAATTTACGAAACCGGCATTTTTCAATTCGTCCTAAATAATGAATATATAGTAGACACACGTACGCATACACATTTCTAATCTCTAATAAAATAGTTAGGTATGAAAACCGTTGGCAGCTCATTGTTCCTATACATACATGCATACATACATTATTTCTTAATATTTGTGCTCAACTCATTCCGATCCTATGAGTTACTACGTTGTGTGAGCAGTGCAAGTTTCTAAGCAAAAAGTTGGTGTATGCATGTCAGATCAGATTTATTGTGTGTTTTATATATATATATATATATATATATATATATATATATATATATATATATATATATATATGTGTGTGTGTGTGTGTGTGTGTGCAAAAAATTAAATATGCATGTAATTAAACATTATGTTTAAAGCAAATTTTCTAATGAGATTGACTCATGAATCCTAATTTGTGAGACAAGTCGGGTCGAGAGTATTTAGGTATTAAGCTTAGTAATATTATATTATTTTTTACAAATGGTTTATTACAATTTTTGAAAACCAAAGCAACATTAATAGATTAAATCAAAACCAAGTTCGAAAAACAACTAGGTGGAACAGACTCTCACACTCCAAGGACAGAAGAAGAACCAGTCGTCCGTGCTAACACATGAGCTACTCGATTCGCTGATCTTTTGACATGGCGAACTACAATGTTCCCAATACCACTAGCAATTGACTTGCAAGATTGAATAATAGTACCAACATAAGAAAAGTCTAAAGATGAAGAATTAAAAACATTACAGAAATTTAAACAGTCAGACTCAAGAATAATGTGATCCATAGCACGATCCTTAAGCCAAGTGAGGGCTTCCTTGAGTATTAGCAAAATGACAGTTTTGATCAACATGTTTAATTTCTGTCAATTTTCATCTACTACTATTGTTTCAGTACCAACTTTCATCCATGACTATTGTTTTAGTGCCAAAATTCATCACGTCGATCACTCATTCGTTTAAGACATGACAAATCTAAAATTGTAAGGGTATTTTCATCTTTTTCAACTTAAGATCTCAATTTGAGCATGAATAATAAGATTTAAGCCCTAAGATCGATTCAAATTTGAAGTTCTCCTCCTCATCCTACCTTAATTTGAGGATGAGAATTATGAATTGGGATTGATCTTTGGGCTTAAAACCATTTATTCATGCTCAAATAGGATCTTAATTTGAAAAGGACAAAATTACTCTTAATAATTTCATATTTCAGCATATATTAAACAGAGGAGTGACCGATGTGATAAAAATTGGTACTAAAATAATAGTCATTGATGAAAATTGGTACTTAAACAATAGTCATGGGTGAAAATTGGTATGAATTAAACATGTGGACCAAAACTGTCATTTTGCTAATACTCGTGAGACCAAAATTGGTATTTGTTCATTACTTTATTTCCTACAAATTATTGTCTATTACTGTTTTGCTATAAAATATTACATTTATATATATGTTATTAAGTATTGTATATAAGGCTTAAAGTATGGATTATATATGCAATTATGCTATAAGCTTGACTGACTAACAACTTCTAATTATTCAATTTAACTAAATTAAAAATAATTTTTTTTTAAAAAAAAAAACGGAATTTCAGCCATTGGCTGTCCGCTGTCATATTTGAGATCCAGATCTGTCTGGAGACGGCCATGGCCATTTGGAACTAGGGCGGCGGCCAGCCCTCGTTCCAGGTTCAGATCTGGACCTCAAACATGACAGCCGTGGCTATCTGGCTGTCCGGCGGCTGAAATTCTGTTTTTTTTTTTTTTTTTTTTTTTTTAATTTTTAAATTATTTTTTTAATAATTATATTGGTAACTTGTTAGCTACCTGCAAAGAAAGTTAATTGAACAAATTTAGCAGGTAAGTGTGCTTAATTAGCCTTTAATTTAGTCCGTGGTGGGAACTGAGCACTTGACAGTAGTAGATGGGCCTATTTGACACTTCTCCCTTTATTATTTTGTATTTTGGTTGTTTGGCTACCTTTTGACGGTAGGACACAACTAATTGATTTTTTTAAAAAAATTATATTTGATTAAGAAATAAATAAATAAATAAATAAATAAATAAATAAATAAATAAATATATATATATATATATATATATATATATATATATATATATATATATATATATATATATATATATAGGGTCCGGATCAGGTGAGGACCTAATCTTAGGTGAGGACGTGAGAACTAATCTAGACCATTAAATCAGAATGATGTATGATTGAGATTAAAAGAAACAAATCACACGGATTAAGAAAACAAATCCCTTTAAAATATATAAATTTAGGGTAAATCAGTCTTATTAAAAGATGTGCATTCATATACAAAATGTTGTGCATTCCTATACTGAGTGTTGTGCTTCAATAACTTCATTGTTGTGCATTCAAACCCCGCCAAAAAATCATACAGTGAACATCCAATGTTCTACGATGCATTAAACTATGTGCTATAATGCACAACTCCCTAGCCTATAGTGCACAACTTACAACACTAGGTTGCACAATCAGCACACACGAATGCACAATCGTACTACCTAGGCATTTATACATATACACGACAATCCAAATATAGACAATATTATACTCAAAAGAACAAGCGAAAAAAAATAAAAAATACTGATTAGTTTGCATGGGCGAACACTCAATCAATGATGAAGAAATCGCGGCTCCAAATTGCAACGGTGATGATCCAAGAAAATAGGAAACCAATTTGGCCAAGGATTATACATGCGTTCACGCTTAAAAAAATAGAAAAAGACACTATTATCCCACTTTAACAAAAAAGATCAATCAATGTCATCTCAAGAACTCAAATCTGGACCATCCAAATAAAAAAACAAACGCACAAGATTAGTCCTCACGTCCTCACCTAAGATTAGGTCCTCACCTGATCCGGATTATATATATATATATATATATATATATATATATATATATAAAACTCAGGAGTCACCCAAATCATTGATAGCTAACGGATATAAGAATTGCATTGCAACGAAAAAGTAAATTTAGGAAGATAAAAAATTACATTATTTCTTTTGCAATAGACAATCGTAAAATAAATTGTACAACCAATTAAATGACAAAATAACTATCCAACCAAATTCCTGGCAACCAGTTGAAAATGGTAAGTAATTTTTTTTTTTTTTTTTTGGTGAATTTGACCAGTTGAAAATGGTAAATAATTAAACTCACACATTTAATGATTACTTAAAAATAGCAAAAACTAAGGAATTAAATCATACAATCTCATGTCATGGGAATAATAAATACTCCGTATTATATTAATCTCACCCACGATATACAGGCCGAAAGTGTGAGTGCAATATAATTGTTACATGATTTGGTGATAAAATTAATTATTAGTTTGACTTTTTATATAACAAATCTCATTATGAATTATATGAAATATACATAATTTAATTTAATTTATTTATAATAAGTCAATCAATACATGATTAATTAATAAATATTGAAATACTGAAATATTTTACTACATCAAATGATATTTTTTATTTTTTAATTTTTAATTTTTAATTTAAGTTTATTAATTTGTTTTTTATTTTAGTTTTTAGTTTATTAATTTGTTAAAAATATTCAAATTGTAAATCGAACTATTTTTGTGGATACATAAGAAATCAATGTGGACTAGGATGAAACCCATGCATGAAGGAGAAATTGAATCCGCCAAAAAGTGAATATCCCACATGAAATAAGTCAAATTCACTCAAAGAAAACGAGTATATGCAGTCATCATTTACACAACAAAGTTGAAAAGACGTCAATATATGGATTAAATTGTTGTTTTTTAATTAAATTATTCAATTCACGATAGATTTACTATTTTTAAAATTAAAATTAATATCCAATAATATTAAAATTAAATATAAATATAAATAGTACATGTATTTTAATTTAAAATTAAAAAAATGGTTGGGTATTAATTTGAAGTGACCAACTTATAAATTATAAATCTATAATCGTAATTAATTTGGAAAAAGGTTGGCATTAAGCAAGCCCAATATAAATACGCAGTACAGTTGGGTCGATTCTTTTTGACTCTCCACAGCGACCAGCTAGCCAACCGCCTGCCTCTCTGCTTTCATATCATACATAGCCTTCTTTCTCTTTCTCTTTCTCTCTCTGGAGTCAGGATTGTGAAGGTGAAGCTCCATCTTCCGCCCCGTCCGCAGTGGAGTTCTCTGATCTTCCGGAGGAAGAAGAATGAGGCTTCTTCTAAGGACTACGTGTTTCGCCGTCTCTTTGTTTCTTCAGGTTAGACTTCCGCCGGAGTACACTTCTTCTCACCATCTTCATTTTCCGTCATTCACTCACACCGATGGATTGTTAGCGCACTCATAGCAAATGCGTTTTCGTTTCTTAATTATAGTTATACTTTTTTTTTTTTTTTAATAAAAATATTTAGATTCTCAGAATCTGAAAAATTTTCAGTGTGGTTGAGTTAACTCTGTTTCTAAATAATTCGTGTCCGGAGAATTTAACTTAAAAACGTGACATTCTGAATTTATACTGCTCTCTCTCTCTCTCTCTCTCTCTCTCTCTCTCTCTCTCTCTCTCTCTCTCTATCTTTCTATATCTGTTAGAATTTCATCATCATCATTTTTTAAAAAATAAATAAAATTAATGCCTCCACTGAACATTTCATGCAGTGTAGTTTTGTTTGTTTGTTTGTTTTTTTTTTTTGGCCGCCGGAAAAATGGATATTATGTACTTTGCTACCTAGCTTTTTGGAGAAATATGTTGAAGCTCACATAACCGCCTTTGTAGGTCTTCATAAGTGGTTCGATGGTGGCAGCACAGGCGCCCACGGGGTAAGTTATGCTACGTATGCGTTATTTTTTGCTAATATTTTTTATTTTCGCTCTCTGTTTTTTTTTTTTTTTTTAATTTTTTTTTTTATAAATTATAATAAAAATGATGAATGGATAAGGATTCAATGTGATTATTATGCGGTAATGCAAGCTTTTGGTTGTAAATATTCCAGCGTACTTTTTTGTTTTTTTGTTTTTTTGAGCATGCGTACTTTTTTGTTTATTTTTCTACTTTAAGCTATAACTGAGACAGGACAGGGAAATGAGTTAACTGAATCATCATAAACAACAAAGGAGGAAGGCTGAAATTACTAATTTTCTAATTGAATCATTGTCTTTTACTAAATGAATTGCTTGTGAATTTGTATAGTTCATATGCCTGAATTTTTCTTGTACATGGTTAGGGAAAGACATTCAGAAGGATATTGCGCCATGTATGACATTTGTGGGAAACGTAGTGATGGTAAAGTGCTGAATTGCCCCTTTGGTTCCCCATCTGTGAAGGTAAGTACTGTTGGATTGGCATTGATGATGTTTATTCCTCACTCAAGTATTCCTTTGATATTTACTTTTTTTTTTTTTTTTTTTTTTTTATTGGATTGAGAGCTCTGTTGAAGTTGAGAACACCTTTTATGTGCATCATTTCACTTGAACTTTACAGCCAGATGAGTTGCTTTCATCCAAGATTCAAAGTTTGTGCCCAACTATCACTGGAAATATATGCTGTACAGAGGCTCAATTTGACATTTTAAGATCGCAAGTCCAGCAAGTAATATGACTATGATTTATTCCATTTTAGTATTTAATCACTCCTGCCTTTTTAATTCACTTTCACATGTATCTTCAGGCAATCCCGTTCCTTGTAGGCTGTCCAGCATGCTTGAGAAATTTTTTGAATCTATTCTGTGAACTTTCATGTTCTCCAAACCAGAGTCAATTTATAAATGTGACATCTGTTTCAAAGGTTAGTACTCACAACTGTTTTAATTCCTCCTATAATTCTTCTTTTCCCCTATTCAAGAGATTGTGTTTTTTTTTTTTTTTTTTTTTTTTTTTTTTTTAAATTTTATTTTAAATTTCCATAATTATTAGTGTTTTGTTTATTGTTAGTCTATCACAATGAACAGTTAGAGTTCTTGATCCTTAATTTTTCTACTTCAGCTACAAAATAGAAAGGAACCTTTACAATTAAAAAAGATATACAAAGTTATAACCAGTTATATGGAATGTTTGATATGTAATAGCAGAGTGTGTGTGTTGGTATCTACACATCCATTTGAGTTTCCATAGCGTTCTTGTTAGCAAAAAGTGTGATAAACTTGGATTAGTTATTCTTAGTCAAATATAACTAGTTGCTAATTGACTTTGGATGATTATATCATGATTTTCTATGTGACTTTTAGGTTCAGAACAACTTGACTGTAGATGGGATTGATTTTTTTATAACTGACGCTTTTGGCGAGGGTCTATATGAATCCTGCAAGGAGGTAAAGTTTGGAACTATGAATACTCGAGCAATTGACTTCATTGGTGCAGGGGCTAAAAATTTTCGAGGTAAAATTATTTGTCCTCCCTTTTAGCTTGAAGACAAGTATGCAAGTGTATTTACTTTAGCATGTATATGAACTGGACTCTGTCTACTTTCTTTTATCTTCATTCTCAGCAAAATTGATGGGATACTTTTCTTCTCTGACTAAAGTGTTTGTACTTGACAGAGTGGTATGCATTTATTGGTAGGAGAGCAGCACTTGGCATGCCAGGATCTCCATATGCAATTAATTTTACATCAACTGCTCCTGATTCTTCTGGAATGAAAACTATGAATGTGTCTACGTATTCCTGTGGTGACACTTCATTGGGCTGTTCTTGTGGTGATTGCCCTTCAGCTTCTGCATGCTCAAGTTCAGCCCCTCCTCCTGCCCCAGAGAAAGAGTCTTGTTCTGTAAGAATGTGGTCCCTCAAGGTGCGAGAAGGCCAGCTACATCTTGTCAATTTATGTATTGCTACAGTATGATTTCTCTAATGTTTTGCTCTTTCTATACAATTATATAAACCACTGCTTTTAATTAATGCAGGCAAAGTGTATTGAAGTTGCTGTAGCAATAATTTATATTGTATTGGTCTCCTTGTTTCTTGGATGGGGTTTTGTTCATAGGAGAAAAGAGAGGGCTCCAGTTTCCAGCACAAAGCCATTGATAAGCGCTCCTGATGCTGGTATCATCCGCCAAATTAACAAGCAAAAAGATGATAATGTGCCAATGCAGGTAACTGTTCTACAGAATATATCAATGGATTCAATGGATGCATTGTTTTCTTCTTCTTTTTGGGATTTTTATGCCTCTAGAGTTCTAGAATTTTATCAGTTTATGTTGATTTGATGGTTTGAGTTTTGAAGTGTGGAGCTTGAAACAGTAGTTTTTGAAAGCAAAGCTTGAAACAGTAGTTAATTTAAGTAAACAATCTACTTCTGAAGAAACGATAACAATTGTGCGTTTAGTTTGTAGAATAGTACCCTATTAGATCTATCCTCTAGTTCTGTGCTTGAAGTTTCCCTCATATTTAAGAGTTTCAATGAAAAAGGCTAGACATAAATGTGTTTGTTGAGTGACAGTTAAGTAGTTAACTAAATGTTAGGAGCATGTTCTCTACTGTTTTCTAGAAAACTTTAGGTTGTGGAACAACTATGACATGTTTCTCCCTCTCTGTTGTTCTTTCTCAATTTATTAGATGCTTGAGGATGTACCGCAAATTTCAAGTGGGGTACGACTTTCAATTGTGCAAGGATACTTGTCAAGATTTTTCAGGTAACCCCTATTAAATTGTTAACAACTTCTATTATATACTGATAATACTTTGTTTATGTTTTTGCCCCAGAATCTTGATGTTAATTCCCATTTTTTTCAGGAGATATGGAACGTGGGTTGCAAGAAATCGAATCCTTGTTCTATGCTCGTCATTGGCCATTGTTTTGGTACTTTGCTTGGGCTTGTTTCGTTTTAAAGTTGAAACAAGACCTGAGAAGGTATAATGCACTGACATGTCATTGAGTATGACCAATTTATTTTGCTCAGTTTCCTGTCAATGCATTTGATAGTCTTTCACTTGGGGTCAAGGAACTTTATAAGTTCTGGTGTCTATATGCACCTTTTTGGTTTTTGGATTTGCTTATGTGGATTAGCATGACATTGAAAGTGTTATTTTCTTCCATTTGATTCAATCAGTGCTCAAAAACACCTATTGGAAGGAAACTTGAATTTCCTAATTCTAATGTTTATGGACCAATTTGAAGGACCATATCTTTAGTGTATATACTTCATAGATTTTTACATATCAATTATCCTTAGAAAGCTGTGGAAGTCTAATTCCCGAGGAATTAAATGGCTCAACAATTTTAGGTACCTACAAAGAATTACACCCAGTTTAGTAGAGACTACTAGTAAACTAGCATATGTGGAGCCCATGCACTAGTTTAATACTGCTTTAAGCTATGAGTCATTTCATTTTTTTCTGGTAACCTATGGTAGTAGTTTCCTTGTGTCTTTTCTTTTAGTCTGGAATACTCAATTTACTAGTATAAATACTATGGTGATGTAATGATGGTGTCGAAGTGTGGGTGAAGTTGTAAAAACATTAATAGTAATTCAAGAATAGTCTCCATGTGTTCTTCCTTTCCAATCTTTATGTAATTGAGTGAGCTCATCATGTTTCTAACAATACCATCTAATTTAATTCCTTTGGGAAAATTTTGAAGAAGATTACTTTATCAGATGATTAATGTTTAGAAAATGAGTTACACTATGTTTCTCTCTATGTATCATAGTTATCACTAAGCTTGCTTGGACTTTACCATCTGAAATTGCATTGTTAAATTTTTTACTTTAAATTTATTAACATCTGTCCCTGATACTGCTACAGCTATGGGTTGGCCATGGAAGTAGAGCTGCAAAGGAGAAACAGTTTTTTGACAACCACCTAGCACCGTTTTACAGAATTGAGCAGGTAATGTATTTTTGCTTTCTGCTCAACATTAATACTGTCTTAATCCGCTCAATGTATTTTTGCTAGAATGTATGTTTTCACTCTATAATCTATTTAAGTTATGGCAAGATGTCTTTATGGCTATATTAGCCTCCTTCCTTGCCAATGAGGGTTTATGTTTTATTTTCTGCTCAACGTTAATACATAATCTATTTGTGTATGTATTTTTGCTTGCAGCTCATAATAGCTACTAATGGGAAGTCTCCAACCATTATCTCGCGAGATAACATCAAGTTACTTTTTGATATACAGAACAAGGTACTCATAATATTTTTTTTCCCTTTTACTGAAAGAATGTGATTATTTTATGGCCATACTATATGAAGGGAATATACTGTATCCTGTATATATCTCCATGTATTTCTTCAATCATTATTCTGCTCTACAGATTCTAATGATTTACACAATATATCTTAGTTATTGTGCATTTTATGTTAATGTGCTACATTTTGAATAGGTAGACTCGATCAAAGCTAATTACTCTGGATCAACTGTGACACTGAGTGACATTTGTATGAAGCCGCTTGGCAAGGATTGTGCTACTCAAAGTGTTCTTCAAGTAAGTACAACATTGTGCCCAGATAATGGTTATTCATGATGTATGTCTTCTCATCTGAAGTTGGGTAGTGGAACCCGAATCGTAGTCCCAGTTGTAGTGGGCTTGGACTAGTGTTTGCAAAATATAGTCTCTGTTATGGACAGAGAAAATAGCCTCTATTATTTTCACATGATTCTTTGTTCCCCCCTTGGAAGCTGGGTCCGTTTACTAACAGAAAACTGTTCTCTGTTTTCGTTTTCTAATTTTTCAGTTTTCATTCTCTATTTTCAATTCTCAGTTTTCTGTTTAGAAAACTTGTTTACTAACATAAAACTGTTCTCTGTTTTCTGTTTTCTAATTTTTTAATTTTCACCTAAAATTTAGTTTAGATAATATTAATATTTTTGGGCTAATATTTAAAATATTTTTTTTTTGGATATATTCATTTGAATGACATGTATATGAATATATAACTTTTACTTTGAATTCTAATATATGTGAGATTTCAATATCCGATATCTAGACCGAACTTGTATTATGATGTAACATAATTAAAAATATTCGAACTAATAATCTATTGAGTTCAATCAAAATCTAAAACATTATATAGAGTTTAATTCTTAATTTTGATAATGTAAATAATGTCTAACTTTAAAGTGTAAGCAAATAAATTATGTTTAAATAAGTAAGGTAAGTAGAAAAGATAGAAGATAGTGATAAGTAAAATAAGATGATAATGAATGTAATCATAGTAATGTGGTTATAGTGACATATAACTAAATAGATGATAGATGATTCTGTTTTCTATTTTGAAAACAGTTTTTAAGTGTGTTTCAGTTTTTCAGAAATTATTTTCAGTTTTGAAAATGGAAACTGTGTTAGTAAACATGTTTTCTGTTTTCTATTTTCCAGTTTCCGGAAATTCCCAGAAATTTCCAGTTAGTAAACGGCGAATATTCCAAACCCCTCCCCACCATTTGGTGGTTTACCAAAAAAAAAGAAGAAGAAAAGATCAAATATTATACTCAAGTCAATTAACCCTCTAAATCTCAATCTATTTGGGGCAACTTGCAAGGAGTCATGACAAAGTTCACATTTGCTATTAACCTGCTTCAATCTTCCTCCTTTACTTTTGGGACTGTGTATGTTGATAACTTGGGCAGAACCAAGTATTAAACATTGTTTGGAACATTTGAGTTAAAAATATTTTTTGCTCTTATAGTCATTTGTTTATGAGTATTGGAATTCCATTTTTCATCTTTAGTAATTGGCAGTATGTTATGTTTTGCACTTCATTATGTGTGTTGCCTGCCTTTCCTACGTGACTCAATACTGAATTCAACTTATTTGGTATGCAGTATTTCCAGATGAGTCCTGCAAATTTTGATCAGTATGGGGGTATTGATCACCTTCAATATTGTTTTCAGGTAACATCCTCATATTTTTAAAAATAAAATAAAGCAAAATAAAACTTTGCCCATCTTAACATGGTGATTGACATGACATTTAAGAACTGCAGATGCATGGCCCATTCCGTCATTTAGTGAAAACATGAATCTTGAAGAATACAAAGAAATAAAACAAATAATTATCTAAAATATGTGTGCATAACATGGAGAAATTATTCTTTTACGCTTAATCACACTCTTTTACCTTCAAAAATATTTATTTTATTTCCTTAAAATAAAATTATCTCTTACTGTTGTTCTCATGCTTGATGTTTCCTTTAGCACTATACTTCAGCACAACAATGTATGAGTGCATTTAAAGCTCCCCTTGACCCAAACACTGCTCTTGGTGGCTTTTCTGGTAACAATTACTTGGAGGTAATTCCTTTATACTTTACTATTGTATGAATCTGTGAGTTGTGTATTAATTTTGAACTTTATTTCTGATACAGGCTTCTGCATTTATTGTAACGTATCCTGTGAATAATGCAATTGATAGAGAAAGCAATGATACTAAAAGAGCGGTAGCCTGGGAGAAGGCCTTCATCCAGTTAGTGAAGGTTGCTTCTTGTTATCTCACCCATCATCATTTGTCAGCTACTTTATTTTGTGGTATTCTCATAAATATGATTGATAATAAGACTGTTGCAGGCTTGCAGGATTTCTACTATGTTCTTTTTTACTTAATTTTAGGAATAGCTTTAAATCTTTTATCATGCTTGCTCCTCACACCATTAAGCTAAACCTTTTCCCCCCTCCATAACTGGCTGGGCAAATGTGTATAATTCATAAATTCAATCAATGTTGTGAATGCTTGAGAGAAAATTCTTAGTTGCAGTGCTCAATGTAGAAAAGAATCTGTTTGCATTGGTTACATTTGGTGAAAAAATCATGCTCTAAAATAATACTTCATTGCAATGTATACAAACTCATCCATTCAGAAAAATTGAATAAATCCAAACATATAAACAGGATGAAATATTGCCAATGGTGCAATCGAAGGATTTGACACTATCATTCTCATCAGAAAGCTCTGTTGAGGAAGAACTGAAACGAGAAAGCACTGCAGATGCTATAACTATAGTTGTAAGTCCTCTGGAACTCCATATTTGATCTTATGTACATGCATACTTGCATATTTATACTTATACATGTGTTCATTACTTTTTGATTGTCTTGTTTCAGATAAGTTATCTTGTAATGTTTGCTTACATATCTTTGACATTGGGTGATACTCCACGCTTCTCTTCATGTTATATATCATCTAAGGTATGGTTATAACAGCTTTGCCTTTCTTCATTTATGCATTGCAAGCTCTTTTGTATTTGTTCGCATTAAAGTGTTAACTTATTGTTCAGATTTTATTGTTCTTGTAATACACACACTCACACACACACACACAAAGTGTTCCATCATATATACACTAAATAGTTACTCATACATACTATACCATGAAGGATGATCACATAGTAGCTATTGAAAGCCCACATAGCATAAAATAAATGTTCATATGATATGTACTTAATATTTGCATTACATGCTGCATGGTATGTATTGAAGTTTGCAGTATGAAGTAAATGTTCTAATTATATATGTGTTAAATGTTTACATATTATGAATTGTTATCAAGCTTGATCATAATATTCACACCATGGTGCACATTTGCGTTGTCTTTCTGATCAATGTCACCTTATATGCATGCATGGGTGCTTTTAATACTTTGCCATCAATACTTTTATTTGTCTTGAAATTGTATGTGAATGATGTTAGGTGATCAAGCAAATGTTTTCTGATTTATTTTGTTGGTTTTATTTCAGGTATTGCTTGGCCTTTCAGGCGTTGTTCTTGTCATGCTCTCTGTTCTTGGATCTGTTGGTTTCTTCAGTGCCATAGGAGTAAAATCAACACTTATCATTATGGAAGTTATCCCGTTCCTTGTCTTGGCAGTATGTTCTATCAACTATTTTTGTGTTTTTATATTTTGCTTTGACTATATCCCAAATATAACACATTAAATTAAAATAAACAATAAAATGTCAATGCAAATATTTGAAACTTGCCATTAAATCTCCTCTAAGTTGAATATCTGTTTGACTCAAGTATGTTTCAACTTTTAATGCTTTACTGCAATGTCTTATTGTCTTTTAATATATACTTTTCTCAAACAGCAAGAAGATTGATCTGGTATTATAACTTTGCAGGTTGGGGTGGATAATATGTGCATATTGGTGCATGCAGTTAAAAGACAGTCAGTGGAGTTACCTTTAGAAGGACGAATTAGCAATGCTCTTGTAGAAGTTGGACCATCTATAACACTAGCTAGTCTAGCGGAGGTTTTGGCATTTGCAGTTGGGAGTTTCATCCCTATGCCAGCATGCCGCGTGTTTTCCATGTTTGCAGGTTATTGAGCTCCTGATTATTTTTCAAGTACTATGGGATATCTGATAACTAATGTTATATTTTATTGGTTTGTTTTCTTAAATTTTTCTGTGATGCCTTTTCATTTTGTAGCATTGGCTGTTCTGTTGGACTTCCTTCTGCAAGTGACTGCTTTTGTTGCCTTAATTGCCTTCGATTTTCTGAGAGCAGAAGATAACAGGATTGATTGCTTTCCCTGCATTAAAGTTTCTGGTTCAAATGGCGATCATGACATAGGTATATGTGGGCAATTTTCCTAATTTCATAACATTTTAATATGTATCAATGCTGAGTCTGACTCTAAAATGTATGGTTTGTTAGGTAGTCAACAAAGAAAACCTGGATTGCTGGTTCGATATATGAAGGTTTGAGAAATTCTTTAGTATCATTCTTTGACCATCTTGTCATTTTGGTCTAAAAGTCGCATGATTCTTGGCACTTCTGATAACATTTTATTGTTTACCTTGGTTGCAACCTTTTTATTAACAAGGAACCAATCACAGTTTCACAAACTTTTCTAAGAAATGGAATTAGAAATATTTCTGGCAACTGAATGTCCTACTTTTCCAAAACTAGATTACTATTGGCATTTTTTTGTTGCATCAACTCTTTTATTTTCATTTCTTAAGTAACTCAGTTATGTTTCACTGTCTAGGATGTTCATGCGCCCATTTTAAGTGTGTGGGGAGTAAAAATAGTTGTCATATCTGTCTTTGCTGCTCTTGCAATGGCAAGTATTGTAAGTTGTTGCCCCTATCTTTCTAAAATATTATTCCTGATATCTCAATCTATTTTTCTTATGGTAAATTTGATGATTGATCATGATGTTTCTTTCCTCAAAGGCATTATGTACAAGGATTGAGCCTGGTTTGGAACAAGAAGTTGTTCTTCCTCGAGACTCGTATCTCCAGGTTTGATATGCTGATTACTGCTATCTTTGCAATTTGCTTGATATCCTGTACATTGTCAAATAATGGTTCTTAATTTGCATCCAATTCTATTTTATGCAGGGTTACTTTAGTAATATCTCTGAGTATCTCAGAATTGGGCCACCACTGTACTTTGTTGTGAAAAACTACAATTATAGGTATTCTTTCCCTCCTGAATTCCTTCATTATCCTTTCTCTTTTACTTGAAGTAGAATTTGTCCTTAGGCATTCAAATTTTAAAATATTCATTATCAATGATATCCATAGTTTGTTAATTTGAAGTTGTTCCTTGTTCTCTACTGAGAAGCCATGCATTGCATTTTTATCTTCTTGCTTCTTATCATTATTGCAGTTTGAGAAACAGTTTTGACCTGAAAAGAGTGAACAAGTAAATAAATGAAATATTCATGGAATGATAAATATTACACCATTATTTTCTACATATAATGCCAAATATATAATGAATCAGAAATTGCTTTTCCCTTCTCATGTATAATATTACTATATAAATACTGTAGTTAATACAAAGTGGAGAAGTTTCAAAAAGTTTGTTTCAGTGGGTATTAAAGCTCTGATTATGTGAATGTTGTTTCATTCCTCAGTTCTGAATCTGGACAAACCAACCAGTTATGCTCTATCAACCATTGTAACTCAGATTCTCTTTTGAATGAGGTAAGGTTCATATTTCTTTCACAAATTTGAGGATGCAAGTCTAATACAAATTCAATAATCTACATGGTGTCACTGTTTTCCCATGTGGGAAGGCTTCACAACTCATAAGGGGCTATGGGGAACAGTGCGACTTTTCATGGATGGAGGGGACCATTCAGCTTGCATGTCTGATGGGTCTTTTAAGTAGTCAATATGTATTATAATGCCAATACTTTGGGTAGCTTGTAACATTTCAGTCAGTGCTGCATCTGAAAGTTACAGTTTCCTGCAGATTTCAAGAGCATCTTTGACACCAGAAACAAGTTACATAGCTAAACCAGCTGCTTCTTGGCTTGATGATTTTCTGGTATGGATGTCTCCAGAAGCATTTGGTTGCTGCCGTAAATTTACAAATGGAAGTTTTTGCCCACCTGATGATCAGGTGCAGTTACTTTCTTGTTCTAAGGGCACTTTTGATTAAACAGAGGGGCATTAATTCAATATTATGAATGTTTATTAGAAAGTTGTTGCACTCATCATTCCCTTTTTATATTTCATGCTTCCATGCGTGCAACTATTTTCTAGTTATTTCATTCAAAACTATTCAGTAATTTTGTTTATTCACTATAAAGTAAAACACATTTTCTTTCAGCCTCCTTGTTCATCCAGCGCGACGGGCATATGCAAGGATTGTACAACGGTAGTTCATACAAACTTTTTTTTTTCTGCTGTCTTATTTTATTTTTCTGTACTCAACTGTATGCAAAATGAAAGAATCAGCTTCTTCCAATTTGAAAACATTTTCCATTCTCTCTTCTCTTTATCTATTCCTGGGGTTGGGTTTAGGGGTTACCAAATTTGATCTATAGTTCTATGTTAGCTGTGTTAGTTCTATAATTCTTGGGTTAGAAGTAGGATCTATGGCTGACACTTGGAATTTGCAGTGCTTCCTTCACTCAGATTTAGTCAATGGTCGTCCAACAACTGAACAATTCAAAGAGAAACTCCCGTGGTTCCTGAGTGCCTTACCTTCTAGTGATTGTGCAAAAGGTGGTAATGGGGCTTACACTAACAATGTGGAGCTTAAAGGTTGTACTAATGACTACTTCTTTTGCTAGAGTGCACAGTTTAAATTATACTTTACAATGCTATATATATGTGTGTGTGTCTGAACATGTTATTGATTGTTCAGATCAAGTTTTCATTTATTACCGTTTGTCTATTCTGATAATTTTGGCCATCCGTTATCAGGCTATGAAAATGGTGTTATTCAAGCATCGGCCTTCCGTACATTTCACACCCCTCTTAACAAGCAAGTATGGAATGCACGATTGAATTTTTTTTTTTGATTTCATTCAATTATCCTGCTATTCATCTTATTTTGTTTTCTTTCAGGTTGACTTTGTAAACTCAATGAGGGCTGCACGGGACTTTGCTTCTAGAATGTCTGATTCTTTGAAGGTAAGTTCCTTGATGCTGAACCAAACACATTCAGTTTATAGACATTCAGATTCATTTTATATTGGGTGTTTGGCCTTCTACCAATTCATTTGATAGTAGCTCTTAATCTTTCTTCCATGTAGCAATTATTTTATAGATGTTCCTATTCATCTACTTTTGGTCTTTCGAAATTTTAGCGTTTTTACTTCCAGAAAGTGAAATGATTGTGTTCTTTTCTTCCATAATTTTCTCAACCTGCAATTATGCATGTGATAATTTTATATCTGGTTGAAAAGAATGGACTCTAAAAGTGTGTGATTATTAATGCTTGTTCACGGCTCTGGACACTTTTTCTGATGCAGATGGAAGTCTTCCCATATGCTGTATTTTATATGTTCTTTGAACAATATCTTGACATATGGAGGACGGCATTAATCAACCTTGCCATAGCTATTGGTTAGTAAATATATGCCTTTTCATTGTTCTGTAATGCTACAACATGATGGTGTTAACTGTTATCACTTTAAAACCTAAGCCTCCTATGCTCCTTATCAAATTTGAAACTTGAAATTTCATCTAGTTGATTGGGAAGTAAGAGAATGAACACATTACTATTGATGCTTATTATATAATGATGATAACTAGTCTCCTCTTCCTGTCTTCCATTTCCAAGTTATTTTTATCTTATCATGTTTCTGCATATTTTTACTAGGTGCTGTATTTATTGTATGCTTGGTTGTCAACTGCAGGTTAGTTAGTAATTTCTTACATATATAGTTCCTAGGCTTTATATTCCCTTTCTTGATTACATTAGATATTGCCCATCTACTTCTTCAGTTTTGTAACCTTGATTTGTTAACACAGTTTCTGGACTTCAGCAATTATCTTACTTGTGTTGGTGATGATTGTACTGGATATAATGGTACACTCTCTTCCTTTAGCATTTTTTCTGCATTGAGCTTCTTTGTCAAATTCTCTTGTAGTTGCTGCTGGTATGTTGACATATATATTTTTCAGGGTGTTATGGCAATCCTAAATATCCAACTAAATGCAGTCTCGGTTGTTAACCTCGTAATGTCCGTGGGTATTGCCGTTGAATTCTGTGTGCACATAACGCATGCTTTTCTGGTCAGTTCCTGTTTCTTTTTATTATATCTGAATAATTGACTGTCTGTTCCTTTCCTTGGCTGGATACACAAAGTATTTGAAAATGGCTAATGAGTTTTTCCTTCTCTTATTTTCTGCATTTTCATGTTGACTTCCATGTCTTCATGCAATCTGCCAGAATCTTAGAAGAAACAGAATTTAAGGGAGTTAAATGTTTGCATAAGCAACCCCTTATTTGTATGCCACTGTATGCAGAATAATTGAACACATTGACAAATCCCGTAGTAAACCATACCTTCATAGATAAGTAGGTTTGAACCATTATGTATTGCCAACTGCTAATCACTAGTATGTGTTCTCAGTTTCATTTACGAATTTGGTGGGACGTAATTAGATATCAATTTAATTTGTTTTAAATGTATTTACACATTTTTCGATTCCTCTCTTACCCCTCTGGAGGCTCAAACTCCCAACCTACTAGTTTTAAGTAGAGAGTGCTCACCAATTGACCTAACCACTATTGTGTTTCATAGGTAACCACTTGTGCTCATCAATTGACCAGCATTTTAGTTTATATTATTTACTGCTCATTACAGTGTTCAATAAATCGAGACTTTCTTTTTGTGCTTTTTTTTTTTTTTTTTTTAAATAATGATGAACTGAATGCAGATAAGTAGTGGAGATAGGAACCAACGCATGAAGGAGGCTTTGACCACTATGGGAGCTTCTGTATTTAGGTTTGACCATATGTCTTTTTCTATTTGAGACACTTTTTGGTTTCCATATTGGAGTTTCTTGTCACCTAGTGAAGTATGTGTTCCAACTCCATTTTTTAACCCTTTTTTTTTGCAGTGGTATCACACTCACAAAGCTTGTTGGAGTGCTTGTCCTTTGTTTCTCCAGGACAGAAGTTTTTGTGGTATCTAAGTTTTGTTTATTGCACTTAATAAATAAAATACAGCATATGCTGATTACAGCTTTTTGTTTTCTATTATATTGCAGGTTTACTATTTCCAAATGTACCTGGCTTTGGTTCTTCTTGGTTTTCTACATGGGCTAGTCTTTTTACCCGTAAGAGACCTTCCTTTCGCACTAATCTATTAATATGGAGTTATTTACTAGATATGAGCTTGAGTTTGTGTTTTGCAGGTACTATTGAGCATGCTTGGTCCACCATCGAGGTCGGTGCTAATAGAGAAACAAGAAGGCCGTCCATCTACATCATCACAATTCTAATCTAATCATGAGCACTTGTAGATTTTAGATATATATATTCTCATTTTCCCTTGAAGATAGAGCTCAATGGTATAGCTGGAGAATTCCTTGGAATAGCTTTTTCAAATGTAAATCAGCATCATGAATTTTAATCAAAGGAAAAAAAGGTTATACAAATTTTGGGATTTGGGATTTTCAATGTTTTATTCAATAGCTTCCAAGGTTTGATTTTGGTGCAGACAAGGTTTCAGGTGAGATGTATTGAATGGGCTTTTTAGAGATTGAAATGTGAAAAAGAGTTAGTAGTCCAGAAATTAGATAGGTTAAAAACAACACTATCGAATCAATTTTTGGAGGAAGAGTAGTTGTCTTTTTCCCAACAATGTAAGATCAGGACTGTAATTGTCAACATTTGATATTTATAGTGAAGCATTTATAAATGTATCAGAATTATTAATTAATAATAATCAGATTGTCAAGTATTTTCAAATACACTAAAATTGAAAATCAATAAGAATCAAGTAGTGCATAGTGCATTTAAAAATGCTTTACAATACATAATTAATTGCTTGATTGTGCATCTGCATGTTTGCAAAGCCTTATTTACACTTGATCCCGATCATATATATGGTAATGCTCCTATGAACTCTTCCCTACATGATAATATGAGAATAGATCTAAACTATAGAAATGAAAAAATCAATGACTATGATTAAAAGTCAATACCTAATATTCATACACCTATTCAACAATCTAAATTTCCCATAATATTAGTTAAGTGGCAAATCTGTCCAACAAAATTTTAAACGTTCATCAAAATAGGTAAGTCAACAACAAAATAAACATATTTTTTACATAACAAAATAAGTTCATTCATATATATCTTCTTCTTTTTTTTTTTTTAATGTAAACACATAATTAAGTGTATTTTTCTACATAATAAAAATAAACGAGGGTCATGTACAATGAATATTTGCAAACAAACAAAATCAACACAACTATACCTTAAAAAACCTGCACAATACGTAAATACACACACAATAACACAAGTATGTGCACATATGAACCCAAAAATAAAAATAACAAACGACTTGACATAAATGACAATAGACAAATCAGTGATGAACATGATGCTTAATTCAATGCACACTACAACCAACATACTTTGATTAAAGCACACTAAAATAAAAATGCACACACAATTTGAAATGCACATAACACTACATTACAATATATACATATATAAAATTATAAAAGCAGCTCTTCAAGTGGGTCAAAGTTATGTGCACACTAATGAAATATAAAATATACATGTATAAAATTATAAAAGCAGCTCTTCTAAAAATACAATCCTATCAAAAATATGCATCTTAAAATCATGCATAATATTGACAAATAATAATATCATGATTCTAAATGCACACAAAATTACCAATTTACCCCTCAATAAAAATACGTAAATAATCCAAGAAATCTAAAAAAATCATGACCTTATCCGAACCTATAATCAAAAATCCAAATTAATCTTTAGTTCTCATATGATTGCGTGTGTGTGTGTGTGTGTATATATATATATATATCACAGTTAATAATATAGATACATATACATTTATTTTTTTATTTACTTATTTAGGCGGCACCAATTTATTGATATTAAGAAATTGTCACAGTTTAATGATACAAAATACGACACATGAATATAATACGTATAATTTCCTTCCCCGAGGGTATTAATCACTGCTAGCAAGTAGCAACCAAAATCATACTATAGGACCTCCAGCTTCACATTGTTGGCCTAACATTGAGGCGTGAAGCTAGCTTCTGACCAAGAGACTTGTCGGCCTACACACACATTGAAGCAAAAGAACATATTAGTGCATGTATTGTTGTCTCGTGACAAAACATAACACCTAAAACTATTGCTCATATTTTTGTAGGTTAATAAAATCTTAAAGATCATACCTGAGTCCAGTATGAAATCCAAATGCTGCGTATTTCATGGGTAACTCGTGGATCAGACAAAGCCTCAACCCACCGGCAGATAAATCTTTCTTGCCTACATAAACAGTACAGTGTTGCAATAAGTTCATGTACTCGGAAAAAAACATCTAATATACTGACATAAACTATGGGCTCAAAGTACCTATCTGTTGACCAGGATCTGTATCTCTCTCCTGGCTGCTTGAAGTTGTTCTCCTTCTCAATGATGCACTGAATAAATGCAAACAGATACAGTTAGTACAAAACAAAACTAATATGTATGCTTTTACATGACAGACTTGTGTAGAGAACAAATAAATATGATAAAATGAATTGGCCCGAGTGGAAGATGGATATCATATTAAACAACAGGCTATTAAACTTTAGTTCCAAAAGTGTCATTTAAGGTAGTCAAAAAATAGTGTTTACAGCAAATTTTATTCACTCCACATGATAAATTCGAGGTATTCAGAAACTACACAATCAATGACAACTCACCTTGTCACGCTTTCCTGTCAATACGCGTGGAGGAATGGGGTGCTGCTCAGCATGACGGCAAGGATCATACCTTGAGGGGAAATAGTTGACCTGGAATTAGAACATACACTGTGAAACAGATAAATCCAGAGAGCATTTTCAAAGGTAACAAAAGAGGAAGCAAAGTACCTCTTCATCTCTATGCATGAAATTCATAAAACCATCATGGTGATTGTTGTGATGAGCACATTTTGGAGCATTGACAGGAAGCTGCAGGTAGTTTGGCCCAAGGCGGTGTCGTTGTGTATCAGAATAAGAGAAAATCCTAGTCTGGAGCAGCTTATCATCAGAATAATAAACACCAGGAACCACAATGGCAGGGCAAAATGCAAGCTGCTCATTTTCTGCAAAGAAGTTGTCAATGTTCTTGTTCAACACCAAGCGTCCCACTGGCTGCAGTGGCAAGAGGTCCTCGGGCCATGTTTTGGTTACATCAAGTGGGTCAAAGTCAAATCTGTCTTCGTGATCAGGATCCATTATTTGGATAAAAAGTTTCCATTCAGGATAGTTCCCAGCTGCAATTGAATCATAGAGATCCTGGGTGCCATGGCTGTGATTAGCACCTCCAACCTTAATGCATTCTTCCTCCAACAGACACTTGACTCCACAAGTTGGTTTCCAATGGAACTTCACATAGTGTGCTTTCCCGGCCTTGTTGATCAGTGTATAAGTATTAACCCCAGAACCTTCCATGTGCCTATAATCTTGTGGGACACCCACATCATCAAATAGGAAGGTGAACATATGCAAACTCTCTGGATGATGAGAGAAGAAATCAAGGATTCTCCAGTTTTCCTGTATGTGGGACTTGGGATTCGGTTTTAGTGCATGGACCATGTCTGGGAACTTCATTCCATCACGAATAAAGAAAACAGGAAAATTGTTTCCCACCAGATCAAAGTTACCCTACATAACCAAACAAATCACTAACATTAAGTAAAGATGTCATTAAAAATTAAACAGCACAGAAGAACATCCAGTAACAGAGAACTATACAAAGAATGAAAAAGATCAAAAGCTATAAACATTAACAAAACTAACAAAATGTATTAAAAATTAATTGGTGATCCCGTGTTCAAGAAAAACAAGATAACTTCACTGCACAAGAATGCTATGAACCTTGGAAATAAATGATCAGCATACCTCTCTGGTATAAAACTTCACTGCAAAGCCTCTGGGATCCCTGAGGGTTTCAGGGCTGCCACGCTCATGGATAACAGTGGAGAACCGTACAATAACAGGCGTCTGTACACCTGGAGCCCGAAGAAAATCGGCACATGTCAGATGAGAAATATCATGAGTTACCTCAAAAAAACCTTTGGCACTTGCTCCCCTGGCATGTACAACGCGTTCTGGAATCCTTTCACGATCAAAATTAGCAAGCTTCTCCACCAAGTGATAATCCTCAAGTAGAATCGGTCCTGTAAAAATTGGTAGAAATCTAGAATCAGTGGAAAAAAACAGAAAACCAAAACTAGCTTATCAATAAGAAGTATCTCAAAGACTACTGTATTCCTTCTTTTGGGAACTTTAACACACAGATTTGCAAACACTGTACAAGGTCCTCTCTAAAAGAATGCTTCAAAAAGAGCACTACTCCTAAATTAAGAAAATTAGCTTCAAAAAGAGCACTAAATGATCAATTAAGAAAATTGATCATTTTCTGATGAAATTGAATGGGCAGACACAAGCCAACTGTGTGTGGCCCATGGACTCACTCACAAGTGGGCCCCAAAGGCCCAGGTATGGTAGGCCTGGGTAATTCAGCCCAAAAATCAGCTCTCTTGCCTCTCTATGTTGTATTATTGTGTTAGGCGCAAGTTGGGCGGTAGGGTAGCGCCTAGGGCCTAGACGGCCTAGACAGGCGCCTAACAGTGCACATGTATGGGTGTATGTCATATTATACATATACATACATATATATATACATATACATACATACATATATATATATATATATATATATATATATATATATGGCCGAGTTAACTCGGCTAACTCGACCGAGTTAGGCCGCCTAGGGAGGAAATCGCCACGGCCTAGGGGCACCTAGCGTCTAGGAGGCCGCCTAGGCCGATTTTTGCAACAATGCTAGTGCCTACTGCAACCATGGTTGGATATGGTAAAAACAGAAAGATCTAAATGGTGAACTTATTATGGATAACAGTAATGATCAAATTGTTGGCATCCAATAACACTGCAGAAATATAGTTCAGATGAAAACACATATAACAACAGATTTCATTTTATTTTAAGGATCTAATCTTTGCTTCTCAAAAAATAAAAGTACATATCGCTCAGACAACATAGGCTTTAATGCACATACCAAATACAATTGCCGACCTGTAGTCGAATCTATCACTACCAATCCACTACGGCGGTAGGGAGTAGGGACTGAAATTCTAACATCTTCAGAAAATTGCTTTGAAATATTGCTACGGAGTATTGATATTTAACAAGATATCAACGAGCATTAAGTATGAAACCATATACAGAATTAAAATAATAATAATAAAATAAAATAAAAATACCTCTGGTTCCGACGGTCAAGGAGGAGTTGTTGTTCCACACCGGAGCACCAGAATTTGTAGTCCAGAAAGGTGAACTGAAGGCGCTAGACGGACGGTGCTGCATCAAAATTCATAGAAAATGAACAAACAAATCCACAGGGAAATCAATCGATTAAAGTATGTGTGCGCGCGCGCTTTGAAATTTAAGACGAAGCAAACAAAAATAAGAGTCAAAAAAAGGAAGAAGAATAGGTGAAGATATGAAGTTTTACCTTGTAAGGATCCATGGAAGATGAGAGATGAGAAAGAAGATTTGTGCAATGGAGAAGAGAGAGACGAGTGTTTGGAACCTATAGGTTATAGTCTATAGAGGGAAAACCATTTTTATAAATGAGGAGAGTGGGGTCGCCACTCGCCAGGCACGCACTTCTATTTATTGTATTTTTCCTTTATCACATTTTTATTTTATCTCTTACATTGTGATTCACGATTTCTATAAAAATATATATATGTATTAAATCCAAACCCAAAAATTACGTGGCGAAATATTTTGCATAGGAAAAGAAAGTACAGTATCTAGATACTTCCATTGATTTATCATCGTGTTCATATCATTTTTCGTACAATGATATTTTTATATTTACATTTTTAATTATCATTCACCAAGTGCAATGCCTCATATTTTTAAATTGGTCAAAATTATTAAAATGTAATATCTCTTATTTTATGTGTCTAGTTCGATTAATGGAGTTAAATTAAAATAATTTTTAATTTAATTATTTATAATATTAAGTTTAACCAATGAATAATAACATGACAAGTAAAATGAGACAGATGGAGTACATTGTTGATGAGAAAAATAATACTTTATTTATCTCATTTTATTTATCCTATTTACTATTTATTGGTCAAACAACTTCTTCTATGCTTATTTCTATTAACATTTTATTATAATTATTTAATTTTATTTTTTGTGTTTAATAATACTTTTAATTTAGTTTCTAGATATATAAATTTTATATATTAATTTTAAATTTAATATTATAAAAAAACTAAATTATAAATAACTTCAGTTAAGGCTCGTTAACCGAACTTGACACATAAAATGAAACGGAATGAATATAAATTAGAGTGTTAATCATGTGTCGATATAACTTATTAAAATTTTACCAAAACAAAGAGAGATAGAGAGAATTTACTTATCAAATAAAAAACAATACGTGACAAAATTAAAAATATTATAAATAAAATTCTAAGGAAGATAATACATGAGAATCGTTTTAAAAAAAATACATGAGAATCGTTATTATAGTTCACCAATATTTTCTAAAGCTGTATTTTCTAATTCTATCAACGGAAGTTAGGAAAAATACGAAATATTTTTATTTTTAGAAAATTTCCTAATGGGTAAACAATGTAAAGAAAATATAGTCATTATAGACAGTTCAACTAATCATACAGGTAAATTTGGAAAGAATATAAAGAAAATATATTCCTCGAAATTTGTTTCTATAGTGTGAACGCGTGAAGTCTAGAAAGATGCTAAAGCGAAGAGATAAATATGGGCCAGTAGGGGCAGAGCAAAGATTTTGCACAAATTCATTGCCAATAGGTGTCTAATTTAAGGTTGCAGGTGAACCAAATCATTTCTAATTTAACATATTATGTTAATAATGTTTGGAAATTATTTATTCCCCCCATCAACAAAAATCAACCCAACTTTTTAAGATAAATATTAAGTGTTATAGAAGCGGTACGTGATTTGCTAAACAATATAAATAATTAACTATAATTAACAAAGTTTAATCATAAATATTATAAGGATAAAATATTTTCAAATATTGAATTAGAGACGTGAACTTGTCCAAAGTATTGATATCAACTTAAATGAGGAATGATTATGTCATGGGGTGAGCATAGATATTAGTCTAGGAGCATAGAAGTTCGCTTTATACTTGGGATAGAAGAAGCCACTCAACTTATTTAAGAAAAAATAAAAATTTATATTGTTATAATAAGGCGAACAAATTATTATTGAGAGAGACATAGACTTAGGGGGCGGGGCGTTTAGTTCACGAAATGTTAGATTGTTGGGAAGGTTAGATTCCTGTGTTTGGTTTAAAACTAAGATATGTAAATAAGACAACGGTAATAAGACAAATTGATTAAAACGTTCAAAGCCCAACATTAGTAATAAGACAAGAGAATGTGAGATTACCTAAGAAATTGGAGGGTATCTCACATTCCCTTCCAATAGCTAAAAATTTAATGCGGAGGTTATCTGACATTCCCTGGGAAAGTTAAATAACCTGAACCAAACATGAGAATCTTATATTACAAAGCAAATATAACTTTGGTTATCTTATATAACCTGAACCAAACGCTCCCTTAGAGTATTATGTATGAGGGAAAAAGGTCAAATTGTCCCCCTAAGTCAACCGGATAGGTACAATTGGATCCTCTAAGTAAAAAAACTTAATTCAGATCCCTTAAATCGGTAAAATTGTTCAATTAAGTCCAAATTGACTTGTTTAGCAATTAATTAAATTCTTTGTAGAATTGTCAGCCACTAGTTTAGATGATGACGAGTACATAAGTGACGACGATTATGATGGGCAAGAGTCAGACGAGAGAGAACCGGATATAATATGCAAGCATCTTGATCATATAAACATGTTAGGTCTCAACAAGACTACCCTTAGGCTACGTTTTCTGATTAATTGGCTCGTGACCTCATTGTTACAACTAATATTGGCCGGTTCAAATGGAGAAGACAATCTACCTCTTGTTTACATTTATGGACACAAAATAAAATACGAATTAGGTGCACCAATTGCTTTCAACGTGAGAGACAAAAACAAGGGTCTTATTAAGGCAGAAATTATCCAGAAGTTGCACTAGTAGAGTTGCATGGTATCTATCTTGGCATTGGCATCTTCAGTCACATATTCAAATTTTAGATATCCCGAAATAGCAGCGTGGAACTTCAAATCTCGAAGACATAAGACACCTCCCTTTGCAAACCAATGGAATATGGTAGACAGGATAGTAAAAGTGGATTTATTAGAGTTCAAGTCATCACTGCTTCACTCGGCTTCCTAACTAATTTTGAAGACGTATACAAATTGCTCAACCCAGACTTCATCAAAGATGGTGGCCTCCCAACTTTTGCAGATCGAAGAGACCAATCCCTGAACCTGTATGTGAGACTTTGGTTAGTCCTTTCACTGCAGGCCAAAGATGCATAGATGCGTTGCCTGGGAGAAAGCTCAAGTGCGATAAAGTATGAAAGGTTCAAATTGAATTCTTTTGCGCCATCCCTCTGGGCTCCACCTCTTTGATGCTTGTGCGATAAATGAATTTTTATTATTATTATTATTTTTTTTTACTTCTCAATTATACTATTCAATTGACTACATATGTCACAACTAAACTTCTTTATTATTATTTTTAAATATTTGAACCACTTATAACTTTAGCGCATAGATAATTAAACTTCAAATATATTACTCCGTACTATTGATACAAAATAGAATAATTTTTATAAAAGGCACAAATAACGACTAATCAATAACCATTGATATTTCCGCCTATTTTTTAAATTGCTAGTTAATTTGAGTTCTTACTTCTCTCCTATTAGTAGTATTGATAACTCACTAAAATATAATAACACTTGACAATCCCAAAACCACATCAAGGCTCCTTATTCCGACCCCTCAAACCAAAGGAGGTCATCACCCTTTCAACATCACAGTAGACCTCACAGTTCAGCACTCCACAAAGCAAGAACATAATATAATACCTCCATATATCAAATGGGAGCCGCCTAAGATTGAGGAGTTTATCGTATTAATCACAAAAGTACAGGGCAAAAACCAAAATTCCAGAGATTTAAACATCACAAAATAAGAAACCTAATCCCAGTCTAGTGCCTCCATGAATGGAGTAAAGGCTTGCACTGATCATGAGCACATAAGCTTACAGTTTCCAAGTCTGGACACCTTAATGAAACAAAGTCGAATAGGTTGAAAATTTGGGGAAAAGAGCCAAAGAAGCAGATCTGTTCATTTGAGAAGGCCAGAGATTTACTAGACTACTTTCTTGTACAACAGAAAGCAAAATCTCACTCCATGTCACTGTCTTGATCTCTTCACTTTAGTCAAAAGCAGTGCTGCAAGGTTTAGTCCCCACCAAAGTGCAAGGCAAATGGAGCCTTTACCAACAGAACATAATAATTGCCAATGATTTAGCTACTGTTCATTTTTGGGTTGAAGTAATTGAGTTGTTTGCAATGGGGTGAAAGTTGGAGCAGATTTCCCCAGAATATTGAGGGCCTTTCCCCGGGTCACTTCCTTTCCTGAAATTAAAGAAAAGAGACAATTGCAGAAGCATTCTATTTCACTGTTAAAGTTGGTTACAACTGCAAATCTGCGTGACGCATAAATACATCATAAGCCAGAAGCAGACATGATGAATAATTGATACACATAAGCAATCAAACCACTAACTCTCTACTCATTTAGTCAATTCTCATAGTAATTTCAATCAAAGAAGGAAACTGAGGAAGAAGTTTATAAGCATTAAAAAAAATAAATCAATTAGTCACTGTAAATCTCTTATAACATGAGATAGTCATGGGATATAAGATGAGATAACTGTGCCATGAAATGCTGGAAGAAAAGCGCTTTCAAGTTTACCATTTCGGTCTGATTGGAGAAACAAAGATCCACATGAAAATCCACATATAGAACAATGTTATTACCTTCATCTATCGCCAACTGGATAGCCCTTCTCTCCAAGTCAACAGCATGTCTGCTAAGCTCAATTGGTGGTAGGCGTAGAAGCACTGTAAAAGATAATCCAACAGCGTTATTCTAACAGTGAAATGGGAAAACCCTATAAATACACTGTGAAAAAGGACCTACTCTTAATATAATCACTGTAGAAAGACTCATCACTTTGCTTCAAGATTTTTTGCAGATTAGCAAACCGTTCTGTTCGCTGCTGATCATCAGCCACCTTAGAATCAATTGAACGGGGTTTATCAGAAGTGAACTTAGCAGAATCAGCTTGAGCAGACTGTGTGACCTTATTAGACTTGCCAACAGAATGAGTTACTGATGTTCTGCCCTGTGAACAAGTAAAATGATCTGGCATAGTCATAGGAGCATTTTTGTTATTATTCTCCTTCAGTTGATTTGGCTTTTGGGAAACATCCTTCTGTGGCTGACACAAACGCTTCGCCTGAAGTGCCTCTACTATGTCATTGTGAATTCTTCCTCCACCC